ATGGTGGATCGACCCCCATAATTCAACCATGACTCAACGGCGCACCTGCGCGCGTATTGGAAACACAGGTATCTGTAACGTTTGTCCGGCTATCCAATCGGTAATTTTCGTTGGACAGCAAATCCTCGCACGCATGCACCTGCGTTTGGGGAGCACATAATCGCGTGCGAAGCCGTGGATTTTTCCCATCCTTTGCTGGCATGCATGGTAGCTCTGCAACAGTCAGTTCGTCGAGAGTTGAGCATAGAGAGTGCATGAGCGAGACGAACGATCGATAGCTTCGGTCGCAGCGCGGCATGCTGACTATCGTTCGCTCGGGACAAACTAAGCCGGGGGGAAACGAGAAGTCTACATGGCAGTGAATGCGAAGGGGCTGTCGTTGGGCCATTCTGGTTGAAACGAGAGATGGCGCATTTGGTGCGGTGCCCGTTCATTCAAACACGCAGTCCCGAAGAAAGTAGTATTCCAAAAGGTGAATTCACACAGCTGTAAAACCAACCCACATTTTTCCGAAGTGAATAGTAAACTAGCGGATGTACCGAGTGAGCTGATCATGCTTAAGCAAAATGTCTCATTTTCGAGGCGCTCACAAAATACCTGATCTCGCTGTCATACAAAATGAAAGCGTTTCCTAATCGCTATCCGCCGTACATATAGTATGCGAGTAAAGTAAGTGAATATGCGCCGAAATGCAACAATGTATAATAAGATCCCAAAAGCACGGCCATATTCAATATCACAGACAAAAATCCAATGATATCGGTGATGTGCACCCTACTTGCACTCTAAAAGAGATACCCGACCTGCGCAAACCTTTCTGAGACCGAGGTTCACATGTAGGATGGTGCGGACTGACCCCGATGAGAGCTCGATGGTGACCGTGCGGGCCACTCCACTGGTCCTCCTCGGCCGAGCTAATGATGGCCGAATTTCTCGCTCAGGCATTCACGAACAGTGACAAGAAACGCACGACTTATCATGAACCACCACCCAAAAGTCACATTGCTAACCTATGCTGTCTGTGTCCCATCTCTCGAGTTAACCAATATGACCCAACGACAGCCCCTTCGCATTCACTGCCATGAAGACTTCTCGTTTCCCCCCGGCTTAGTTTGTCCCGAGCGAACGATAGTCAGCATGCCGCGCTGCGACCGAAGCTATCGATCGTTCGTCTCGCTCATGCACTCTCTATGCTCAACTCTCGACGAACTGACTGTTGCAGAGCTACCATGCATGCCAGCAAAGGATGGGAAAAATCCACGGCTTCGCACGCGATTATGTGCTCCCCAAACGCAGGTGCATGCGTGCGAGGATTTGCTGTCCAACGAAAATTACCGATTGGATAGCCGGACAAACGTTACAGATACCTGTGTTTCCAATACGCGCGCAGGTGCGCCGTTGAGTCATGGTTGAATTATGGGGGTCGATCCACCATATTGGACACACCGTGGTGTTCGGGGCAGTGGTGCCTGTTGGCCAGTCTGTGACAAAATGCGCAGGTTGAGGCATGTCAGGCATAGGGGGGATATAGCGTTCCGACTAGGAATGGATGAACTGACGTTGTCCGTTTACTTGAATATGGGCTTGTTGAGGGGACCAAAGCGGCGCCCCGCGATTGCGTGTAAGTTGGAATTAGAGGACAAATGTCTATTAAAGGAAGGGAAGGGCCAAGAATTGGGGAGGGGTTGAAAAGGGGGAGGGAAATGAAGTCGCAGCGGGACGATAGGGGTGAAAAAACGCAAGACAGGGAATAAGAAAATAGGAAGGCCTAAGCAGTAGCATCCTCATCCTTATCCACTCTGCTAGATACAGCATATAGGGCGCCGTGGATTAGCCACTACGACGGTCGGAACATCAGAAACTTGTTTGGAGATGATGATGTCTCAGCTATACGCCGTAACGGCGGTTCGCTGCCGTGCGACCACTGCCAGTTGCGCCCGGGCTGAGTATACCGCGATGACGCGCACCCATACTGGGATTCGAACAGATGACCTTGCGTTTGCGAATCAGGCACGCAGATCCTTCGACCACATGCCTACATTGTTTGGGGCAAGATTCAATTTCTTTATTGTGCACCATACTGTCAGATTGCAAGCCAAGCATTAGTTCCTAAAATCCTGACCGCATGACAGCGGGATTTCGGCACCTGTCTGCAGCGGGTCCGTTTTACGGTGAAAGATGCCACTCTCACGCCAACCCCAAGCTGGAGGGCCAGGAGAGTGGTTTTGTCTAGCTATTAGCCATCGACAAATTTGGTGTGAGTAGTCCTGAAGGTGCAGAAGGCATCACGCAACGTAGCTTAGTGGACCGTTGATGCACATAAACCATGGAATCACGTTTTTGTCCAGTCTCATCGAGTACCAAAAGAACTTTCGCTTCCGAAGTGTCTGACGCCACCCACACCAGATATTCGTCTATAGAAGGTTGTGACTTGCTTTCCCGATGGCAAGTGGAATGCATCAGGGTTGCTATGCATCCCCTCCCCTTTGCGATTTTGGGATCAAAGTGCTCATACGCAACTCTACCCACTCAGCGCCTTCTGTAGTTTCGGTTATGCCGGGTGACCGATTTTCAAACTGGAATATGCGGACAACTCTGGATACTAATCATTCTCATTGCTTGCGCTTCGAGTTAGCTTGGCACAGAGCGTGTTACTCTTCTGCGTAGCATTCACACTTCCAAACAACAAAATACTGTTTCGGGACTGGGACGGTGCACGGTCAGTCGTAGTTGTCACCAAACGGCCTCTCAAGGTGGTCAATCGGTTCACTTATCTGGTTAGTTGTGTCACCTCTTGGGGTCAGATCGATGAGGTATCCGCACCACGTATCAGCAGTGCTTGCGCTTTTTCACTCTCATTCATCTGCAGAGACGGAAGCATATTAGCCTGTCTGTTGACGGTTGGGTGGGTCCGATATCACTGAAGGCGTAATCAATTAAACACTTCATGCCACATACACAATGAAGTCGTATTTCGTCATTAGTGATCGTAGTGTGTTACTCGCAAATCGTGGGAGTGCCGGGTGGGCAACTGAACTACAGTAAGTGGTGTTTGGAAGACCATCTGGTGACGCTCAGCCGCATACGTTCGTTGGGGCACGTGCCTGGTGTACCCTTTGTCGCCTACTTCGGCTTACATTACATACCGTCGCCGTATTTGTTTGGCTGATTTTACACAGTGGACAGCTAACAGCCCTGCTTGATGCCAGGAAAATTTGATTGAGTGAATTGTGCAGGTTAATCATTTACATCTACATGCTAACAATCAATTCAACCTGTTGTTCTCTTTTTCCACTCTGGTTCCGTCTGATTTTCCCCACCACTATTAGTTATTGTCAGGATAATGCGGCAGTCTGTGCAACCGGATCCACCGCTTTTTGTGACTCAATTCATAGTCGTTTATCTGGACTGCGATCACTTTGGATCTGACAGGCCAGTGCACTAAAACCCAGAATTGTACAACCGCGTGTCCGTCTTCATGGGTACCCACCTAGTCTTCTGGTCTACCTCATCACTTTTGTTTTCTCAATTTCCATTGCACCACGCGTACACTTGCCACGGTTTTGTGCGTCGTCGATTTTCCACTTATGGGGTTTATTTTCCACACCATTGAAATTCTGTGTTATTACAGAGCTTCCGGAATATCATCCGGCATAAGGGACTTCGCTCCTGAACCTAGCGACCTCACACCATATTTGCTAAATGACTGGCGACTCACTAATGGTCTCATCATCTGCTTCGGTGTCGTCTGACGCAGTGATGTTAATGCTTTAGAACTGTCTCTCATTGTTCAAATCGTCTTGACGTCCTCATCCCATTCGCCTCCAACCTGATCACACATATTATACCGCGATTACTCATTGCTCCTCATGAGAAGGCAAGGCATCAGCAGTACACCGGTACACAGTATCGACGCTTCGCTGCCGCTTAATCTCCACCGGTCGGGCGTGAGCTTAAGATAATGCGAGGGTCGCCCTGCCCCTACGCAGGCTGGAGCTCGCGCCATCAGACTACAAGCGCGTTACCTTTGGGCTACGGGCCGGCTCCTCGTGAGAAAGAAATCGATGCAAATCTACCTGTTTTCCGTCTTTCCGAATTGTGTATGGACTATGTTTTTACCTTCTGCTAGTTATTTACATGTTAAAAAACAGCCTGTTAGGGCACTGATCCTCGGCTTGAAGCCTACATTTTATCAGGTCGATCTTGCCTCCGTGTCTGTGCCTAACTTAAATAACCGTGCCTGAAAACTTTCTGTTTATCCATAAATCTTCTTACCGTTACTCCCGACGGTTGCGCATGCGTGCTGGCAACCCTGTGTTGAGCTCGTCAAGCTAAGCTATTGTGTTTCTCCGCCCCCGCAGCTTTGTAATCGTAGCGTACCCGAGTAAATGTCATTATTTTCTGAACTGCAATAGGTGTTCCTTTAAGTGCCCGTTTAACAACTTTAGAGTTGACGCTTGACATTACTTTCTTTGCTGCCAGTCAAACTCTGCCGAATCGACTAACGTGCACTGCCGCATGTTTTGATATGTGTTTCGCGCCTTCAGTTTGCAAAGTACTGTTTCAGGAATGGTCCGCACGACCCTTTTTCACGATCATGGAATACTTGTTCGATGTAGCTGCTCGGTTTACTGCTGCTACATCACCTCTGGCCGCATCTCTCGGGAGATTTACGCGCACATTACAGTGGCCATTCTGGATTATCATGACTTCAGTCGCTTGTGAAGACAACAGGATATAAGCTTTGTGTTCGAGAGGTGTCTAAAATGCTGCGCTGTGGCATAGCCACTGCACACAGAGCACTAGGTGAGTGACTAAATTAACTCACCGATGCCGCCAGGTATCATTCATGTTTGACGCCCGAGTAGAATGAGTAACGCTGAATTTCCTCACTTGGTGTTTAACAGCAAGCCCTCTGATGCCTAACGGGTGCCAGTTGAACTCCGATTGTCTCCACTGATTCGGTCGTGTGCTCATCGCACTTGCACTGTTTACAATTAATGAATCTAGTAAGGTTGAATCCTACAATTGTCAGTCATTGACATGGTAGTGAAACAAAGTAACTCGTTGAACGGTTGAGGTCCTCGAAACCGGGTGTTATCTTGGGTTTGATACAGCCAAGTACACGATGGCCCTATTGAATTTGTTCCCAGCTCCCAACTGTTCCATCTGACGGTTTACTTTTTGCTCATTTCTCTCAACTACCTTTTATATGCTTGTTTTAATCACTGATGGCGACCAGCTTTGTCTTGACAACATGGGCCAAGACCGAATGCGCCTCATTTCGCTGCGCTGATCGTAGCTAACAAACTGAACTGAACGAATATCCCCTTACTTTTTGTTTCGATTCCTTACTTTCGCAGATTGGACCAGAGCAACGATCGTTTCTAATCCGAAATCTAGACGCATGGACCAACTACACCATTTATCTAGCTGCTGAAAATTGTCGGGGCGAGGGGATTCGCTCCCAACCTATTCACATCTTTGCTGAACCCCCAAACAATGTCGCAAAGCTGTTCTCTTCCTCCACCCATTCTGGTACTATTCAGCAGTTGGTACATCGGCAGATAATTTATGATGGTCGTGAGGCGATGACTGAAGCTCCTTTGCTTCCTTACTTTGATGCAGCTAACGTGATGATGCGCGCTTCTGAATCACCCGAGGAAGAAAGCCTGACTCGTGAACCGTGGTTTATTATTGCGGTGATCGCCTTCGTTCTTTTGTGGATCTTGATTGTGCTTGGTTTGGTCTTATGCGGTCGCTATCGGAGCCGAAGTCAACGACGTCGACTGGATATTGGAGACACAGATGTGACTACCAAGAACGGACGACTGGTATCAGCAACGGATCTTTATCCCATTCACTCTTGGCCGCCATCAACTCTCCCACAAGAGGCTCATCCGCTGGTTTCGAATTTCGATTCTAACGTATACTCTGACAAATCTATGATTGGAAATGGCTATCCATCTCTAATGGTTCAATCCAATGGGTTGCTTCCTCCCATTACGTTCGGTCCGCAGTCGATAGGTGGTAATGGAGGCACACAAGCAACAGTCGTCACGGGATATCCCTACAATCCGCAACATTCCATTGGGCCGCAGGGTACCGCTTACGTCACTTCGGGGAATATTTCTGTTAATGGTCCCCACGGTGGCTTGTCGTGTAAGTCAGAGATTCTTATCGTTCATCTGTTTGCAGCTCTTGCTATTCTTCCTGCGCATACTAACCGAGATTTACTCACACCTGCACTTATTCGTATACTCTACATCAAATTGTTGCTTTTACTTGAAAATTTTTTGAATTCGCTCATTCACATGTTGACTATTATTTTTTAGTATATTCACCCATTTCCTTTACGTATTTCTTGTCTCACTTCTTCGGGATGATTATTGATTTTTCCCTTGCTAGACCTTTTCAGAATGACTGTATACTAGGTGGTATGAGGCTGATGTTGCATTCATGGTGCTTCTTCACCGCAGTTGGGCTAAAGCAACTTACACTTAAACTAGGTCTCTTTTTAAGCTGGATAAATTTCCTTCCACTTTATTTGGTTTGTTCTGCCTGTCTGAATAATCTTCTATTAAATGGCCATGTTGCTTACGCTAATTGTGGTTTTCTTCAGTAACTTTATTGTGTTTGTAGCATTTTTGAGTAACTTGTGGACATTTTGTACTTATCGCGGATTTCTTGCCAACCAACTTACTTCATATGCTAATTTAGGGAAGAGTTATGTCTGCTTAGCCGTATCCTTCAACAGCCATATTTTATTTGCTAATGTCATTTCAATTGATTGGCTGTAGTTTGACATCCCCGGGGTGGCCGAACTTGATGTGCATGTTGACAAGGTGCCAACCTGTCTCTTACCCACTACCTCGTCCATACTGGCTCCAGGAGGCAGTTGGTCGTTGTTAGACGAGCCCAGATGCACGGTCCTTGTGGCCGTGCTAGGCTCGATGAGTGGTTCCATGCACTCAGTGTGGAGCGGACCACGGTCCAGCCACCGCCTTGTGTGCGCTTGATTCCCCAAATACAGCGTGCTTGTGTTTGCCTGTGGAGGAGTGTGGGCCGGCTTCGTTGATGAAACGTGGTTCCCATCCGCATGCCTCCCGGTCTTATTCCTTCGGGTTTACACTGGATATTGGGTATGTGGTTGGAGCTGTGGGTGGTTCATCGCAAGCCATCCATGATCCCTCTGTAGTCGCAGGCATCCTGTGGCTGACCACAGTGACAGGCAAATCCGAAACCGGATGCCGCCAACCATGGTATGGCTAGCGGCCTCCGTTTCCTGATTTGTCTTTCACTGTGATGGAAAGTTTCACAGAGCCTCCGTCTAGAAATGGACCATGGACGACTTGGGCTGGCGTTATTTTCCGTTATAACTCAGCCTTTTCTCCCTTAATGGTTACCCACCGTTTTTTATGGTGAAAGTCTTGGGGGGTCATTCTCAGTAACAGTCATTCGAGTTTTAGCTTAACATCACCGATATTAGGCTATGATCATTTGCTTGCCTCTCTGATTTCTTTTTTGGCACAGTTATGCGGCGTTAGATAAATTTGTCTCAGTTTTCTCTCTCGCTCTCCTTGCAACCCTCATATTCCCCGTATATTGAGCAAGAGACTTACACTGACCTCGCAACTGATGCTTGTTGCTTTTCCATCACACCTAGTGTCTCATCTTACACTAGTTTGTTTAGTGTATGCACTCCGGGTCAGGTCGATTAACAGGCAGCACTCACCTCAACTTTTCACTCTACCGGTATAGATGTGTACTGTGTTTCTGAAAGTCCCACACAAAATAACAGTGTCATGGCGGATCTTCGGCCATTTAGTTCCGACTCTGCCGACAACTACCATTCTTCGCGTCTCTATCGATACTGAGTCAATGGCTCAAGCTATTTACGGTGTTCGTATTGCTCTCAGCAAAAATGCTGAAGGAGGCCCATTCGACTGGATGCCGGCAAACAGCCACGTTTGCGGTTCGACTTAGGGTTAATAAGCACCGCCAGAATACAAAGTATTTTCCATCGCCTCCGTTTATGCACCTACTGACTGAAGTTCAAGAATTATCAGAGGCATCTTTATCGTCAGCTGTCATCCCTTCTCCGAATAGCGAAAAATACTGGCATCGTGCTTGTTACTGATGAATACTCACGTTACTCGCCTTCTCTACTCTAAACAACACCGCTTCCGAGTCGATGCACGCAGAATGGACAATAGTGGTCGATTTCTGCAACTATCTGCTGAACACACTATTTATCGTAGCAGCACAGCCTTCCAGCACAAACTTTCACATGGTGTCATTTGACACTCACAGAATTCCTCGTTGACCTGGATCAGAACTGACCCTATTGCCATCAGCTGCAGATGACACACATCGGTCCATGTCTGTCGATTAATTCGGAGTATGTGCCTGGATTTCCACCATGCTCTAGTGCGCGCACGCCTGGCGCTCACTCTTCCTACTTCAAAGAAGTGCTAATTTTCTGAGCTTCTCACTTGCAACTCATAGACCACAGTTCCACAATATCACGACGAATTGGCCCACCAATTGTCAATGGTGAATGAGGTTGGCGAGTCGGACACTGACCGGAATCATTTCAATATTTCATGACGTCTACTGTATGCCCAACTTGAGTCGTCCGGACTGTGAATGGATCTCTGAGGCATTGACTCATTTGATAGAAGCACGAAAACACGTTCCGTTAGATAATGAGTCTCAGCGTATCCGTAACGCTCTCAAACGACTACTGACAATGAGTCTTCCGATTGCCCGGGAACGCCGGTTGTTGGCAAGGGCCTTAAGATGGAGAAAGTCAGTGTTATTCTGTCTCATCCGGAACATAAATCCAACGAAGCCTTCGATGAGACAATAGCTGAGAAAGATGGACGCTTACTCTGTTCTCTGCCACGTCGACTGTCCCATTACGTGGAACATTTTGAAAAGCAGTTCAGTAGGCCTGCTGCTGCACTGCGGTTTGTTGAAACACCTGAGTCCGCTTGGGGATTTGGTGTCACATCTAGTTTGAAAGGGATTCAACATGGATTTGCCGTGCCGAAACGAAACAAGGCTTTTGGACCCGACGATCTTCTTTCATCTTTGCCAAGCCATAGAGGTAAATCTTGCTTGATGGGACTTTCAGCTTTATTCAACACCTCCATTTGGGGCACTAACGAGGTGCCTTCACACTGGCGACTATCAACTGTCGTCTCCAATGTTGCTCGATTTGGAGCACGAGCGTGGAATCCGACTACGCACTTGTATGTGCTGAGTGCTGGTGCATTTTGGCGGACGTCCGCGACGATGCTATGCGCGCGTACTCACTTGCCGACTTCCGAAGCCAAATGTTCTAAGAGTGTACTAACCTGAAGAGAGACCGCGAAACATAGTGCTCTCACCGTGTATTGTAGATGGAGACAGCCGCTGTCCTTGGTAACCCTCGTAAGTGATTACGTCTGATACGAGGAACGGGCAGCAGGAGACCTTGTGTTTGATGAGACCATACGCGATGAGAGTGGACCTGTAATCTACAATTTGTCAAAATACTTGGAACTTTGGGCCGTTCATGTTGAAATGCAGTTTAATCAACCAGCGTTGCCATCTTTGTCTTCGGCTGTTGATCGGCCTCCTTCATTGGCCATCCCCTTGAATATCCCCTCCCGCGCAGATGTCAAACGTGAGATTAGACTATTGATATTGAACAAGGCCGCAGCAGCAGATAGACTTCCTCCAGCTCTATTCCATTTCCGGGGACCAGCTCGTGTAGATGATTTGTACAAATTCCAAGTGAGGTTCTGGGAGCTTCTCCATTATAATCCCAATTTTCAATCGGTTTGTGTCAGTCACAGAGCGATCAATCTGATCTCAATTGCCTCTAAGTTACTTGCCTCTGTCGTGCTCCATCGACTGATTCACACTCTTGCAAGTCATATTGTCGAGGATCAAGCCGGATTTCGCCTAAATCGACGCTATCTTTACCACATCTCCACCTTGCGCCAGTTGTTGGACCACCGCTAGGTTTATTGGCGACCCACCGTAGTCACGTTCCTCGATATCTACGGTGTCTTCGATTCGTTTGATCGGTGTGCCTTTGGGACTGTTTGCACAGGAAAGGTGTGCTCGAGAAATACAAAACATTATCAGAGCGCTGTATGCTCATAGTTCGGGCAGAGTGAGAGCTAATGGCAGTGTTGCCACCCTCTGTTATCTTCAGCGATATGAGACAAGGTTGTCAAGTGTCATTTTACCTCTTTAACTTCGCCATCAACGAAGTCACGGAAATGGCATTCACTAGACATGACTTAGGTGTAGAGCTACTTTCGGATGTGCGACTTCTTGACTTGGAGTATGCTGACGACATTGCCCTAAACTGTAATGGCTCACAAAGTACCAAGCAGCACTAGATAGATCGGCACTGACTGTCGACCGTTTCGGGCTATGCTTTACACTCTCAAAATTCAAAATTCTCCAAAATTGGCAGGGACCCATCCCTGCGCTGACCCTTTGTGGTGATGATCAAGAAGCCGCTCAAAAATTTAAGTAATAAGGCAGGTATATTAGTGGCTATGGAGTAGAAGATGAAGTCGTGAACCGTATGGCAAAAGTTTGAGGCACTTTTGCCAATTTTCGCTGCCTGTGGCGCAGGCGTGACATCCCTCCCGCCCTGAAGAGCAGAGTTTACAACGCAACCGTTCGTTCACTCTTCCGGTATGGTTGGGAAACCTGGCCCGTTAAGTCGACAAACCTCAAGAGGCTAGCTACATTCGGCCATCACTGTCTTTGCAGTTTAGCTTATGGCTGGTGGAAACATCGCATGAGCAATGAGCGCGTTCGACGACGTGTATTTGGTGCAAGAAGAGCAAGTGAACCGCTCAGCACCGTTAATTCACGCACCAGGCTCCGATGGATGGGTGACGTGTTGCGCATGTCAGTACACCGACTCCCATAACGTGCATTGTTTGCGCGACCGGGATCTAGATAGAACGAAAAGGAGTAGAGACAGAGCGATGAGTTGGTTTTGTATTCCGCAATGTTTACTACCTCGCTCTCCATATATCTTATATTTTGTATTGCGGAGCAATAGCTAAGTTGTGTTTCTCATCTCCAGCTAAGTTGTAATGATGACGATTCTCCAAAGACTTACTCGTCATCATGAAAATCAAACCACTGAAAATCAAGCTGTATTCCGCTCTGGCCGTGGTTGCATCGACCACGTATTTGCTTTTCGTCAAGTGTTAGAGCACGCCCACGCACAAACGACCGACTGTGGTGATTTTTCTTGACCTGGAAGATGCCTTCGTCCCTGTTGATCTAGGCAACTTGTGACATTGCCTATCCG